GTGGAGTATTCTTGATTCAGGTTTCTCTTTTCATCACTTTGACTATATCATGCCACTCCCTTCTGGCCTGCAAAGTTTCTGCTGAAAAGTTGGCTGACAGTGTTATGGAAGTTCCCTTGTGTACAACTAGTTAGTTTTCCGTAGCTGCTTTTAAGATTCTCTCCTTATCTTTAACTTTTGTCATTTCAGTTATAATGTGTCCTGGTGTGGACCTGTTTGGGGTCATCTTGTTTGGGACTTTCTATGCTACCTGGACATGGAAGTCTGTTTCCTTTCCTAGATTAGGGAAATTTTCAGTTATTATTGCTTCAAAAAAGTTCTCTCCCTCTTTCTCTCTCTCTTCTCCTTCTGGGACCCCAACAATGTGAATGTTAGTATGTTTAATGTTGTCTCAGAAGTCTTTTAAACTGTCCTCATTTTTTTTTTATTCCTTTTTTTTTTTCTCTTCAGCTTGGGTGATTTCCACCTCTCTGTCTTTCAGTTTGCTGTATCATCTAATCTACTGTTGATTCCTTCTAGTGTATTTTTCATTTAAGTTTATTCTTCAGCTCTGTTTGGTTCTTCTTTATATTTTCTAAGTCTTTGTTAAACTTCTCACTGTGTTCATCCATTCTTCTCCCAAGTTTGTTGAGCATCTTTATGATGATTACCTTGAACTCTTTATCAGGTATATTGCTTATCTCCACTTCACTTAGTTCTTCTTTGGGTGTTTTATCTTGTTTCTTCCTTTGTCACCTCATTTTGCCTAATTCTCTTTGTTATTTGTATGGTATGTAACCTAATGGTAGGTTGGTTACATTTTATGATCTTGGAGAAGTGGCCCTTTGTAGGAGTCATTCTGTGGGGCCCAGCAGCACACTCCCCTCTGGTCACCAGAACTATATGCTATAGGGATGCCCCCATGTGGGCTGAGTGGGCCCTCTGTTGTGTTGGGGCTGACTACTGTGGGTGCCCTGGTACACAGGACTGGCCTCTGGTCCAGTTGGCTGCCAATCCCTACCTCCTACAGAAGCTACCAGCTGTTGGTGGGTGGGGCCACATCCTGGCACAGCTGGCTGCATGGCCTGGGGAGTCCTGGGGATGGTGCTGGCCCACTGTTGGGTGAGGCAGGATCCTGGCAATTCTGGCTGCAGGCCCAGTGTGTCCCAGGTCAGCTGGCTGCAAGACCCAGTGGGTCCTGGGGCTTGTGCCAGCCCACTGGTGTGTGGTGCAGGGACCTGGCATGCTGGCTGTGGGGCTTGGGGCTCCCAGTGCGGGTTCTGGCCTGCTAGTGGGTGGGGCCAGGCCCCTGTTCAACCTGAGGGTGTCCCAGGACTAGGGGTGACTGGCTGGTGGGCAGGTAAGCCCCAGCACTAATAGGCTAGAGGGAGGACTCCAAAATGGTGCTTACCAGTACCAGTGTCCTCATGGTAGAATGAGCTCCCAAAAGTGGCTGCTGCCAGTGTCTATATCTCCAGGGGAGTTCCAGTTGCCTCCTGCCTATCCTGGAGGCTGTCCAAGGTCAGCAAGTGAGTCTGACCCAGGCTTCTTTCAGATTGTTGCCTCTGAGCTGGGACTTGGAGCATCTGAGATTCTGTACCTGCCCTTCAAGAACGGAGTCTCTAATTCCTACAGCCCTCTGGCTCTCCTGAATGCAAGCCCTGATTTCAGAGCTAGATGTTCCGGGAGCTTACCTTCCTGGTGCAGGACCCTAGGGTTGGGAAGCTTGAAATGGGTCTTGGACCCCTCACTCCTTGGGAAGAACCTCTGCAATTGTGATTATCCTCCTCTTTGTGGGTCACCTACCCGGGGATGTGGGTCTTGACTGTACCACAACTCCGCCACTCCTACCCTTCTTCTTCTGGTTCCTTCATTATATCGTTAGTTGTAGAAGGTCTTTTCTGCTAGTCTTCAGGTTGTTCTCATAGACAGTTGCTCTGTAAACAATTGTAGTTTTGATGTGCCCCGTGGGAGGAGGTGAGCTCAGGGTCTTCCTACCCTGCCATCTTGGTGACCAGGAAATCATTTAGATCAGGATTTCTAAACTTTGACAGAACTGACATTTGAACTGGGTAATTATTTTGTTGTGGGGGCTGTCCTATATATTGTTGGATGTATAGCAGCGTTCCGGGCTCCTGTCCACTAGATGCCAGTAGTATCGCCCAGTTGTGACAACCCAAAATATCTGTGTTTTCAAACCCCCTCTTTCAGGGGCAGGGGACAAAATCCCTCCCACTTTGTTTGAGCACTGCTGTATTAGATCACCTTTAAGTTATGCGTATGTAATATTATGGTAGAGATTATGTAAACTGGGACAGCTTTGGACATTTCAGGAGAAGGCTGTTAGAACACTTAGTGGGATGTTATAGAGGTGATCTTCTAATATTCTGTAATTCTTATAAATAAAATTTTCTTTAGCTCTTGTAAGAAAACAAAAAATGGAGGAAGGTCAGAAAGATTGGCAACATCAAGCTCTAGGCAGAGTGCGAGCTGCTAGCAAGTTGAGGGCAGTCACAGGAGTGAGAACAAATAGATGACAAAGGAGGCAGGATGGGATTTAGCTCTTGCTTTCACAGAAATGAATCTTAGCAGGGAAATGGTTGTCCTTTCAAATGCAAGCCAGTGGCAACTTCGAGCTCAGTCCTGAGTGGAGGGCACAGTCTACCAGGGCCCCTGGTGGGGTTACTGGGCTTCCTGGATGTATTGGAATTTGTAGAAATCTACATGGTTTCACAGTACCTATTGCCTTGCTTATAGTAATGGGAGGACAGTTGTTTTTCCAAATACTTTTGAGGGCAGGGGGAGGAAGGGTATGGTTTGCCTGAATAAATGTGTTCACTTTAGGCTCCTATTAGTTAAATGAGCAAGAAGAGAAAAATATAGCAGCATTCCACCAGGTGGTGCTATATCTGACTCATTCACCAAGCATGGCTGAATTAGGTTTTCTGTGACCCTGTCTCTCCCAGTGTATTTTCTCAGTCCTTTTGAAATAATGTGGATTGAGCTATACTTCAAATGAAAGATATCTGCTGGTTGAAAAAAAATTCCATTCTAGTGTTAATCTCTACTTCTGACTCAAAATATATGCATTTCTATTCCAAGGATCTATCTTGACAAGCAAGCTCAGGCGCAGAAGGCGCTAGAACATATTGTGTTCATAACAAAAGATTTCTCCCTTTTTTCAATTTTTTTTTTTTTTTTTTTTTTCGGTACACGGGCCTCTCACTGCTGTGGCCTCTCCTGTTGTGGAGCACAGGCTCCGGACGCGCAGGCTCAGCGGCCATGACTCACAGGCCTAGCTGCTCCGCGGCATGTGGGATCTTCCCAGACCAGGGCACGAATCCGTGTCCCCTGCATCGGCAGGTGGACTCTCAACCACTGCGCCACCAGGGAAGCCCTACCTTTTTTCAATTTTAATTAATGCTATCGCCAGGTGATTTGATAACACTGCGACTGGCTGGTACAAGCAAAACTGATATAAAACCTTTTTAACTTCAATTTCTTCAATGCTCTGCTGACTTATCAGAGATGAATTTCATGCCTACCCTCATCAGCCTGGGATATAAAAAAGGCAGAGGTTAGGATATTAAAATGCTTTGCAGAGCTCTGAAATACAATGTGCTCCAGAAGACAGCCCTATGACCTGGAGGTCTGGTTACATGGCATTTAAACAGGGAACTTGGCCATGATACACCAGGACAACTGGATAGCCTGACATCAAACTGAGAAGTTCTATATATTCAATATACTGTGATAAACCATAATGGAAATGAATATGAAAAAGAATTTTTATGTATGTATAATTGAATCACTTTGCTGTATAGTAGAAATTAACACAACATTGTAAATCAACTATACTTCAATTAAAAAAACAAAACAAAAGAGAAGTTCTAAGGGCTCATTTAAGCAATTATCTCTTAACTGGCAAGTTGTGAGATTCACCATCTACTGAAATTTTTAATCCCTTGGGGAGAAAAAGGATACAAATATGTTTATCTTTTATAAATCTTCAGGTCTGTCTACCAGTATGCGTGAGCCAAGAGAAAGAATTCCCCTTCAGCTGTTATAAGTAGGTTTTTTGGTTATTTTGTTTTGTTCTTTTTAAGGAAGAGAGACTATTATTGACCCTCAGCAGAGGTAGCCTTAATTGAATAGTAACATACTAAGGGACCCTCAAGGAGGATGGGGCAGTAGTTAAAACAGTGGGTGGGGGTGGGGTGGGTCCATATCCTATTTAAAACATGGTCAGAAGAAAAAGACAAGTGACATGGTCTCAGGCGAAGAGCAGGCAAATGGAAATCAAAGATAGAAGTAAAGAAAATGGAAGGAAGACCTGCCCTCATGTGTTTATCATATACGTCTGTTTATCAATTAAAATATTAATAGCGCAACAATGCATATTTGTCATATATTTTCCATCAAAATAATGGAGAGGAAGGGTGACAACAGGTGGAATGGCCAGGACTTTGAGTTGCTAAAGCAAACACAAAGTTCCTCATCACAGGCTTGCCTAGGGCAGGGCCTGACCATAAAGTGTATTTTCTTTAGAACTCGCTGCAAACAAATATTTCTTCCTTTTAGTATTTTAATACAAACATATTGGTAAAAATCCTTATCAAACAAATACAAACTATAACAACTGACTTAAAGATTTAAAGACATTGAGAAGCAGGATGGGGATGGTAGAGTGCACTAATGTACCTCAGAGACCTCCTAAAGGTCTGTATTTCCCTTATTCTAGAGAAGCACTTCCTAAATTGCCACGTGTCCCTCCTTTGGCTGCTTTCTACCCCTCCCCACAAGTTAACATGTGTTGTGTGAAGAGAAAGAAAAGCTCCTTAGTGAAACACATTTGGAAAACACTCTACACTATATGCCCTTCTTAGAGATTTCTGGTGCACTTGGGCATATTTAAAGGGCATCAAAATATTTGAGAGGCTCTGGGAAAGGAGAATCCGTGTAACTGACTCAGCATTTCCCAAGTTTAAATCCCCATCCCCGTCCCTACCTTCACCCCCAGGAATACTCATTAGCATCTCACAGGCCTCTAGTCTCCCCTAGTAGAGTGTTTGGGAAATGCTATTCCATAGATACAAGTACTGTGTCTTCTTGCTACATTGAAAGGATTGTGAAGATTTACAAGACTTACCGAAAGGACCTACTTAATATCCTGAGAGTTCAGATTTTTGCTCAAATATGGCTTCTTGGTACAGTTGTTTAGCTTTTGCCCTATCATTCTCCTAATTGAAACATCATCTGTGTTGGGAAATAATTGTTTTGTGATTCCTGTAAAAACAACAACAAAACACAGAAAAACACTTTGTCAGAAGGATGTAGACTCACAGATGCAGAGAAAAAACCAGTGGCTGCCAGTGGGAAGGGATGGGGGAGGGGCGATATTGGGTAGGGGGGTAAGAGGTACAAACTACTATGTATAAAATAAGTTATAAGGATATATTGTACAACTGGCAATATAGCCAATATTTTATAAGTATAAATGGAACATAAACATTAAAAATTGTGAAATACTATATTGTATACCTGTAACTTCTATAATACTATACATCAACTATACTTGAATAAAAATAAATTAATTAATTTTAAAAAACCACTTTATCAGGCCTTTGCATCTTAAGGTATGAACTGAAATAAAACACCAAGCAATTCACATTATAATTTTGTCTCTATTTTGAAAAAGCAGCCCAACACCCATGAGATATTTAAATAGATGAATCTCTAGGCAGATTTTTCAAAGCAAAGCAAGAGATAACAAAAGTCTATATCATAAACTGAGAGCATACGTATATGTCTTCCTATGGTACCATTCAGCTTTAACCTTGCTGCTTGCTCTGAATGCTAAGTGCCCTTGATCCAAAATGCTGGGAATTTATTTTTACCCATTCCCAACATCAGTTGAAACAAGCAGATTCTGACTGACTCTTTTCCAACTAAGAAATGATGCACTATTAAAATATAGAGAGCTGTGATTCAGTGAGTCCTTAAATTTGTTGGATATTTGCAAAAAAATTACTTGATAACCTAAATTATTATATTTAAGGAGGTTAATTAACTTAAAAACCATAAGTAGGATGGTTAAATTAACCTCTGTTTTTTTCTGAGTAAAAGATAAGGGATATTTCTAACCAAGATAAGAAAAAGAAAATAAGACATAAACTGTTACTAAAATTTTGTTGGAAAGGATTTTGAAAATTTACTTTTCTAAAGCTATGAGTTTTATGAATCCAAACTTTTCAGTAATATAAAATTCATTTTTATTTTAATAACCATTTTTAATGTAAAGTTGTTATACAAAATTCCCCATATATCATAAGAGGTTTAGGCTATCCTCAGATTTTTCTCTCATAGAAAAATAAACTTGAAGAATAAAAAAGATAATGAAAGAACAACTTAAAGTTGAATGGTAAAATAATTTCAGATTCATGTGACAATATAATACAAACACATTATCACCTATGATTTCTTGAACTTCATTCTGATTCATAGCTGGTTTCACTGCCTTGTCCCTTGAAGTAGAGGATTTTGCCCCCGTCAGGCTGTGTGTGGCCATGTATTCATTTGTGTAGAGCACTTGCATTAAATCATTAATAAACTTCTGAGGCTTGCTCTTGTTGCAACGGGCAATCTGCCATTTTTCAATCTTGAACTAAAAAATTAAAAATAATAATTGAAATAACTGAAAAAGGAAAGGAAAGGAATATCTGAAGAATATATTACTCATTGAATTAATACAGACCAGAAAACAAAACCAAGTCTTTAAGGTGATGTATGATACTTTTAATATATATTGTACATTTCAGGGGTTAGAGTTAGATGTTAACTTTGAGATAATTCCCAACATATATGAGGTATTTGTTCTAGAGTGTATACAAATTCTTGTCATGTAATCTGGATTTGGTGCTTTAAGGATTAATCCATACTTAACATTTCCTACTAAGCATGGTAGCATAATAATGGCCCACTGACAATATTCACATCGTTATCCCTGTAACCTTTGAATACGTTACCTTATATGGGAAAATCAACTTTGTACGTGTCATTAAAGTACCTTGAGATGGGGAAAATATGCTGAGTTATCCAGGTGGGTCCAGTCCAATCACGTGAGCCTTTTTTTTTTTTTTTACACTTAAAATTTGTGTACTTTATTGCAGGTACGAATATGTATATTTACATACACATATAACTTTATGTTTATAAATATATACACACAGTATCTGGTACGTAGTAAGCACACCATAAATGTTAATAATAATAATGAAAATGGCTAACATTTATTGAGCACTCACATGAGCCCTTAACTGCAGAAGAGGGAGGCAGAAAGAAGACACAGAGGAAGGAGGAGAGAATAGAAGAGTGAGAGGGCTTTGCCTGCCCTGACTGGCTTTGAAGATGATGGAAGTGGACCGTGAACCAGGGAAGGGGGATGCCCCTAGAAGCAGGAATGGCCTTCAGTTTATAGTCGACAAGAAAACAGAAAACAGGGAACTCGGCTCTAGAAGCATAAGAAACTGAGTTCTACAGCAACCCCCATGGACAGGAAACAGATTCTTCTCCAGAGCCTCCAAAAAGGAGAGTACCTGCCAACACCTTGATTTTACCGCATTTCTGACCTACAGAACTCTGAGGTGGTAAGTTTGTATTATTATAAATCACTAAGTTTGTGGGAATCTGTTACACAGCAAAGGAAACCAGTACACTAAGATTCAAATATTCTGAATGTTAGATAGTGAGCATTTAATTACTGCTCTTGAAGGCATAATTTCCCAGGCTGATTCTAACAAAACTTGTATTTTTAGCTTCTATTTCTTGATTAAGAGAAGTCGGGAAAGTAGAAGAATTGTGTTCTGCCAGCATGTACAGCCTAAAATTCACCTTGTCTCAATTATACAGATTTATAACCTTTAATGCATAGTTGTCCTTCTGTCACTGGTTTAAGAATTTCCTAGTTTAATAACTTCATCATTGTCCACCATTTGACTTTAATTTTCTGAACTGGATATTCATTTCACAAATATTAGATTTATTGTAAAAGACTGTTTTACATAGTCAGAATATTATGATTGACCTAAAGTTACATAAAGTGATCTGATAAGACAGTGATTATGTTGTACAGTAATTTTAATTTTGTATGTAACTGTATCCCAGAGAAAGATGGGATGGTCTTCCAGCTGACCTGTTTCTCATCCACGTGATGCTCCTCCTCAGTTTTCAAGGAAATTGGTGAACTGTAATTAGAATTAGAATTACTACATGTGGAGGCAAATGAATCTGGTGAGGAGTTATTTGTTGCTCTCCAGAGGGTGGACGCAGACGTGGACAGGGTTCCTCCACCCTTGAGCAGGGCCTCCGCCATACCAACCAATTCTTCAAACTGGGTGACGGCCTGAGGTAAAACTAAAATGGCAAGAAAAAGTAGTACTTTACAAATACTTGGCATAGCAGCATAGATACATATTTTCTATGATGTGTATATGCATAGAAGTATGTAGACCAAACTGTTAACACTTGCTATCTTTGGAAAATAAACATGGTAAGAAGAATGGTTGGAACATATTTACTTTTTTTTTTTTGGTGGTACGCGGACCTCTCACTGTTGTGGCCTCTCCCGTTGCGGAGCACAGGCTCCGGACGCGCAGGCCCAGCAGCCATGGCTACGGGCCTAGCCGCTCCGCGGCATGTGGGATCTTCCCGGACCGGGGCACGAACCTGTGTCCCCTGCATCGGCGGGCAGACTCTCAACCACTGCGCCACCAGGGAAGCCCTAACATAATGGTTTTAAGACTTGATTCTTTTTCTAATTGCTAATGATGTTATTTGAAGGTGTTTAAGGAGACATTACTGATTCTATCACCTTCCATCAGGCCAGTTTAAGTGACAAGATAAAATAAACCGTTTCTCACAGATTGAAATAAATTTTCTATGGCCTTAGTGCATGATTTGCCAGGGAGTCAAAGGCCATCAAATTAGTAAAAATTCATGGCCACAGTTCAAATCTATGTGTTCACATATTAAAGATGGATTTTGGTAATCAACTGAATGTTCTCTTTGTTCCTTTTTTTAAATGGAAACTTACACATTCAAAGCTTTCATGCCTCCATGTTAAATGGTCTTCTCTTGTTATATCTAGTTTCTTTCCTAAGGACAAATAACATTTTGTTGGAGTTGGAAGACACCTTGAACCCTGTGTAATTCAACTCCTCACTCTATGGTTGGGGGTAATGCCTACTGGAGAGGTGAAAAGACTGAAACTTTTTTGTACTTTTCTAAGCATATTATTGAGCTATATAATCTTTGGAATAATAGCTGATTGGAGACCTGAAAATCAGACATATTGATGACATGTCCAAATCAATACATTTAGTACTATGTTAGTAGAAAAATTTTTAAATCTGCTAAAGAAGAAAATCTTATTTTATATTTTTTCAATTAATATTTGCTAAGCACCTCTCATGTGCCAGACAGTTGTTCAATCAGCAATTATTTATTGAGCACTTAATAATATTAGACATTTATCTAGCTTCTACTCTGTGCCAGGCACTATTCTGGGAACTTTACTGATGTTCATTTGTTTACTCCTCATTGCAACTCTCTGAGATAGGTATTATCATTACCCGCAATTTACAGATGAGGACAGTTAGGCAACGAAAGGTTAAATAACCCATCAGGGTCAACTCAGTGAAAAGAAGAGGCAACATTCAAATTCGGACTCTGCCAATTCCATGCTATAAACTTCTATGTCATGCCAACTCTCAACATTTGCCCACCACTCTGTTAGGTGCCAGGGATGAGACTGGGAGCAAAACCAGATGTGATCCTAGACTCTTGGAACTGGGAGGGGGTGGGGGTATTGTTTACCTAACCATGCTGTGTGTAAAAATTTGGCCTGCTCAAAGAAGGTCTGGCCACCTGTCCTAACCACCACCCACCACCCCCCAGTTCCTGAGAAGTAACCTCTCAACCCTTGAATTTCCCGAGCGATAGCAGGAGTGTCTTTGTTATTCATGGTGAGCCCCTTAGAACACACCTGATTTATGTTTATGCTAAGGAGTTTCTCAGGGTGGGGACAGTCACACCCAATAATCTTAGGGTAGAAGCTGGCCATAGCCAGAAAGCCAGAAAGACCATGTGGGCAATCAATCAGTGAATCAATCATGCTCACGTAATGAAGCCTCAGTAAAAACTTTGGACACCCAAGCTCAGAGAGCTTCCTGGGTGGACAATCCTCTGTGCATTTTGTTGTAACATATAAAGACTAGTAGGTAATATATCCTGAGGACAGAAGTTCCTCACTTGGAAACTAACCAGACTCTGCCCCATGTGTCTCTTCCAACTTTGCCTGGTTCTAATTTGTATTCTTTCCCTGTAATAAATGTAACCATGAATATAATAGGTTTTGGTGAATTAAATTTCTCTGGCAAATTACTGGACCTGAGGGTGGTTTTGGAAAACCCCTAAACTTGCAGTCAGTATCAGAAGTCTTAGAAGACTTGGCAGTCTAGAGGACTGTGCCCTTAACCTTGAGGTTTGGCTAACTCAAGGTGCATGCAAAGAAATAAAAAATCACAGTTGTTAAGGTCACAGAGGAGAGGCAAACAGCCTAGAGAGGGAAGGGCCACAGAGGGCTTCTCTTAGGAGGTCAAGATTGATCTGAAACCTGAAGGCTGAGCAGGAATTAAATAACCGGAGGGAATGAGGAGGTCATCAGAAGCATAGGAAACATAAGTTCTGTATTTGAGGAACTGAAAGAAGGCCAAAGCTGGAATGTAAAGAGAAAAAGGGAATTCTGCATTAAAGTGGGGTTTAAAGAATATTCACTGTTTTTTCTAATAATGAAAGTTATACATGTTCATTGGAATATATCCTTCTTGCCATTTCTATTTTTGTATATCTCTATTCATGTATTTTCTTTTACATAATTAGGACAATGCTATATGCATAGCATTGTATCATGGTTCTTTTTTCCAATTAAGACCATAAATTGAATATTTTCCCTACTTTATTAAATCTTGGAAAATATGATCTTTTGAGGTCTAATTTGCTTAGAATCAAAGTCAAGATCTTATGTGAAGTCTGAGCAGAATTTAAGTAGGTAGAGGGGGATGAGTTTGACAAAAGGATATACCCAATTAGCTCACACTAATATGTTCGAGATATAGAACATTTCTGCCCACCCAGAAATTTGCCTCATGTTCCTTCCAAATCAGTCCCTGGACTCACCTCAGGGGAAACCATTAATGTGACTTCTTTAGTCAGAGACACGTTTTACCTGTTCTAGAATTCCATATAAACGGATACAAACAGTATATTCTCCTTTTTTTGGTCTGACTTTTTTGTTGTTGTTGTTCTGCATAATGTTTTGAGATTCATTCATGTTGTTGTGTCAGTCATTCTTTTTTCAGGAGGATGAATATTATTTTTATTTTTTATTGAAGTATAGTTGATTTACAATGTTTCAGGTGTATAGCAAAGTGATTCAGGTATGTGTGTGTATATATATATATATATATATATATATATATATTCTTTTTTGTTGCTGAGTGATATTTCATTACATGGATACTCCACAATTAAAGTATCCATTCATCTGCTGATGGGTTATTTTCCACTTCAACACACGACTTTAAGGATTCCCTAATATCTCAAGGTATTGATGTCCTCTAATTTATTCAAATGCTCCTTTTATTCTTTTTGGAATTTAGGTTGCTTCCAATTTTTCTTGATTACAGACAAAACTCTTATGAACCACCTACCACACACATCTTTATATGCATCTCTGATCGTGTCAATGCTATAAATTCCTGAAAGCGTAACAATAGGCTCAGAGGTATAAATGTTTCCAAGACTCAGTTAATGTCATTGAATGGCTCTCTAAAAAGAGTCTTCCATCTTAAATGCCCACTAGCAAGGTAAGAAGTCAGCCACATCACTGCACCATCAACAAGAGGTGCTCATTATTAACAACAATATTCACTATTTTGATAGGTTAAAATTTTAGTACAATTATTTAAATTGTAATTATTGCAATTATTTGATTATTGTGAAGTTGAATACATATTTATTTGTTTATTGATTATTTGAACTTATTCTATGAGATACCTATTAGACCAAAGAATGTTAGTACTTTTTAAATTTTATGATAGCTTAGATGGTTTTTGTAAAGTGCTTATAGGAATGCCTAGTGCATTATAAACACAATGTATTAGCTATTGTTATTAATTCCTTAATAACACTTTAACCTTTATATCTTAAGCACTTTAACCTTTAATTTGTCATAAGCTGCAATTATTTTTCTTAGAGTATTTTAATTTTAGTACGTTTTAAATGTACACACTTTCAATACACTTACAACTTACAACTAATAACTAACACTTACAACTAATAACAACCTGCTGTATAAAATAAATAAAATAAAATTTTTTAAAAAGCACACACATATTTTTAGTTTTTACTTAATTAAAAGTAGCAGTCTTATGGAAGCAAACTAAGTGTCCATCGACAGATGAATGGATAAAGAAGATGTGGCACATATATACAATGGAATATTACTCAGCCATAAAAAGAAACAAAATTGAGTTATTTGTAGTGAGGTGGATGGACCTAAAGTCTGTCATACAGAGTGAAGTAAGTCAGAAAGAGAAAAACAAATACCGTATGCTAACGCATATATATGGAATCTAAAAACAAAACTGGTCATGAAGAACCTAGGGGCAGGATGGGAATAAAGACACAGACCTACTAGAGAACGGACTTGAGGACACGGGAAGGGGGAAGGGTAAGCTGGGACAAAGAGAATGGCATGGAAATATATACACTACCAAATGTAAAACCGATAACTAGTGGGAAGCAGCTGCATAGCACAGGGAGATCAGCTCGGTGCTTTGTGACCACCTAGAGGGGTGGGATAGGGAGGGTGGGAGGGAGGGAGATGCAAGGGGGAAGAGACAGGGGGATATATGTATATGTATAGCTCATTCACTTTGTTATAAAGAGGAAACTAACACACCATTGTAAAGCAATTATACTCCAATAAAGATGTTAAAAAAAAGTAGCAGTCTTTTCCTTAGTTTATTCATTTACTTTACACTTAGCAAGTCATTCAGATCAGTTAAATATTCACTCATATATTTCATACAGTTTAAACATCTTTTCACAAGTAAGTTTTTTTCTCCCCGGATATATTTTTTTCTAACTTTTAATGTAAAAATTTAAACACACACACAAAATAGTAAACTCCCATGTACCCCATGCCCTAGTTTCCAACTCATGGCCAATCTTGTTCCACCTGTATCCCCACCCACTTTCTTCCCACCTCCAAAATTATTTCAAGCAAATCACAGGCATCATTTCATTTTATCTGTAAATATTTCCGTGTATATCTCCAAAGGTAAGAAATT